CAAAAGCGTGTACAAAATATATAAATGATCAATATCATCTGATGAACATAGACAAAGGTTGTTTTTTTATCTATACATTAAATTTTGATAGCAGGAAAAATATTCCAATATATGGTGATATTGCAATATGATGATAATGTTGTATAGTGACCCAAGTATCGTGACACGTATCGTATCGCAACACTCATGCCAATACTCATCCCTAATCCTACTATAATAAACAGTTTAAGCTTTTAGTAAGTTTAGATGGAAGCAGACTGATGTTACCTTTCTCATGGGTGGGGATGATCATAGTTTTCGTCCATTTTAATGATATGTCATCTAACGGGCATCTAAACCAGTATTTATATTCAGAGCTGTTTAAGCTCTAGTATTTTCCTTTAGCTCTAACTGGATTTAAGCGGATGCGCTTAAAAAAAAAGCAAAATTTGTTTTATTTCTTTAAATGCAGGCTTTCTTAAGCCATCTGATGTGTTGATATTAATCTCCTGGTGTTATTTACTATGGGTTATTCCTCTAATTGAGGGCTAAAGAGTAAAACACTCAAGCCTATGGAAAAAAAGTTTTTTTCTTCTCTTTTGATTTGAAAGCAAGCATTGCTGCCTATGTTTGAAAAGAGTTTTTTCAGTTCAAAATAGACTGAACAAAGGGATTAGTATGCAATAAAAAAAACATGCTCTACATAGTAATATGCTTTTTTTCTTTGAAAAAAATAGAACCAACATAAAAACTTAAAGAAAAAAGAAAAATGATCATGGTAGCTACACTGCACAATCATGTACACTCAGCCGCCCATTTATTGGGTACTTTGCAGTGGTGTACAAAAGTACACACATTTGTTACTTAAGTAGAAGTATAGATACTGCAGTTTAAAAACACTCTGGTAAAAGTTGAAGTATCAACTTGACCTCTTTACTCATGTAAAGGTGAAAAAATATGTGCTCCAAAAACTACTAAAAGTATAAAAGTATAAAGTAACCTTTAAAAAAAAAAAAACAGACGCCACTATATGAATTGAAAGCTAAATTTTTCAACTATTTCGGAAAATTATTGAGATAGGGCCAAGGATGAGGGAGGGCTTGTTGGTTTCCGTTTCCGTCTCCATCTCCCGATACGCTCTGCCCTGTGTCCGACTTTTCAGACATTTCAACATCTTTTTCTGAATCCGACATTGTAGCATGGCATAGACAATTCACGTTTACAGTTTGAAGAACACCTGCTTGCTTCTGATGATTTCCTTTAGCTAACCAATGAGTGTTTGCGTTATACGACTCATCCAATTACACTCATTTTCACTAGATGTGGATGGCACCAATGGATTGCATTGGATGCATTGGATGGAGTACATGACAGGAAATAAACATTTAGAAACATAAAGCCGAAGCCAAGAGTAACGAGTAATGTTTGTTTTAAAAATGTAAGGAATAGAAAGCACAGATACTTGTGTGAAAATGTAATGAGTAGAAGTAAGAAGAAAAATAAGTAATGGAGTAAAGTATAGATACCTAAAAAGTGTACTTAAGTGCAGTAATGAAGTATTTGTACATCGTTACTTGACACCTCTGGTACTGTGGAGAAAGAATTTTGAGATATGTCTGTTCTTAGCCTAATCCAAACGAAGGTCATGAGAGATAAGAATGAGTTACACAGCCTCCTTCATGGCATGAAGGGGAGGACTGCTGTTCTTGAGGAGATCCATCTGGCCAGTGATAGATATAATAACATAACAGTGAACAGCCTTGATGAACTCAAGTAGTTTTTCATTCAAAATGTCCAAGTGTGAGAAAGTTCTTTATGCAGGGAGTGGGTTGGTTCCTCTGGGGGGAGTGTGTTGGGATTTAAGTAAGGTATAAATGTATGTACTGAGCTTTGGTCAGTCAGAGCTATATCTCTCCGTCTGAGGAAATTAAATAAATTTGAACCTTATTTCTTCCAAGAAATGCTTCTGTCTCAGCTTCCTAACTCCATAGTAAACTTGTTCATTTGTTTAAAAAGAACAAAAAAATAAATAAAATCTAATGACAGAAATACAATACATTTTGGTATTTAAAATTGTAAAAGACAACGTACTGAACGTCAAAGAGGATCTTTGTGACTTTGGTTATGTTTATGGTTTTATACAAGCTGCTTTGGTCATTTAAGAAGCTCAAGAGTTACTGGGAATTTAATTCGCAACTATAGCACCTGTTGGGTATATACACAAAGGACCAAAAACAAAGATAACGTCCAATCAGGTGTGATGATGGAAATGCCTTTTGATTTCAGAGGTCAGAGGAGGATGGAAAGCATTGTTTCAGATGAGAGAAAATCAACATTAACTGGCTTTTAAAACATGACAGTAAGTTCAGTGGACTTCAATAGCCTCCAGTTCTTTAGACCTTATAGTCCAACAAAGCAGTTTTGGCATTAGTTGGAATGGAAGATTCGCATCATGCATGTGCAGCTGGCACAATCTGCAGCAACTGTGTGATGCTCCCACTTCAATAAAGGCCAAAATCTCTGGGGATCATTTCACACACTTTATTAGATCTTAGCAAGCGGTGCCTACTGAACAATGTGCATGGAAAAAATGCACACATTTGCCTAGAAAAAAAATCAGAAATTCAAGCAAATCAGTAAAGGATATCAGATATTCTCTAAACATTTCCAGTGTCTTGAATTCTGAGTGAAACACTGGATTAGATGACAGTGTTCTGACGTGGAAGATGGG